GAATGTTAAGCAGCCATGGTGCTTCTTTCGAACAACACTTTCACCAGTTTCTTCAACCAATTGTAAGTAATGTCTCAGAACCTGTCTAGTAACTAAATCTCTATAAAAATTATCCAAGTTGAGCAATTTAAAATGTCTGTCTTTTATCACTATTATAAGGCTCACATCTATTTAAATTCATCGCTGCTCTGGCATTGACTTATCCAAACTATACCATACAGTTCCAAAATTACTGTCCGTTTACCAGAAATTTAACTACAAATTCTAATGCAGATCTGTAATTATGGACAAGGCAACCTATTTAACTTCAAATTTTTTGCTGAATACGAATGATTTCCTACTGGAATACTTTGTTTGGATCCACCAATTGGCTGGAACCGAATGCCATTTCAAACGAAAACAATCAGTAGCTGCAAAAACTACATAAACCGCGAATTTTAAGATCATTTGTAGTTGAAGTGATGGAACTGTTAACGCTGTAGTAATAGCAGAGGTATTCGTAAACAGCAGAGAGTGGCCTGCGGAGAAATTTGGTCACCACCTATTATACCGTGCACCAAAATAAATTTGGCGTTATGCAGGTCATAAGGATTCAGGCGAAACTTCACCATTAGATTGTTAGAAAGTAAGCAATGAGTACGTAAGAAAGTATGAAACTTTCAGAAAAATTGAGCATTGTTTAAACTTTCTTGATAGAAAATGAAGGCAGACCGGTAATGAAAAAGCACGTTTGAAAATTGGTATGCCCAAATGCAATAAGACCAGTTTAGCTCACAAAATTTCCGACGGATAAGCAGTTCACAGCTTTTTGCTAATTTTCAAGCTCCTTAATTTGTTAACATCTGAATATTTCCTACTCTTGAAAAAACCTCTTACTAGTGTTTTTTTTCTACAGTTTAAATTCATGACAAAAGCTTTGAACGGTATTGAAAGCTGTGTTTGGCATACGTATCTCGTTCGTTTCCTAACTCCATTTATTTTAAGCCTGAGAACTTCCTTTGGCAATGAACAACTGCAGATTTTCTATTAGGTAGAAGTTTGCAAAACCTGGTTTATGTTCAGCCTTAACTTTGTTTGCTCTTTAAGGATGAGTAAATCTTTGACTTTTTAATTGTAATTTGATAAGATAGTGTAAGCCACTGTGTTAGCCATTGGCTACAGTGGTTGCAACTGTAGCATAAAATTGACCTTTATTCTTTTGTCGAATTATGAGAGGAAAGTAATTGTCATAATCTTTATAGAGCTGTATTTTGCGGTGCAGCAATGAGGCCATATGTTCAGGAGAATATTCCCGAAAAAGCCTATTCAGCTATCAACTACTTCGTAAAAGTTCGTTTCACTTTTTATTTCTTGAAATCTAATTATCCTGTCTTTCATTGCTCTTTAACCTCACTTGCTGAAAAAAGTCTAAAGAAGAAAATTTTCTGGTAAATACTTGTTAAAGATTACTGCTTTTTATAGATTAACAACAAAATATTTAAAAAACAGGTCTTTTTTTGATAAGATATCAAAAGTACGGTTATCTATTTCATTAATTATATCACTGCGAACGTACAGGTGCTGTCGTCGTCGTCAGAAACAGTAATTTTCATCTTCCTCGGTTTGTCGACTGTTTCCAGCGATCATCAATGGAACAGCGCGTTTATTGTAACAACAGTGACACTCTGTATTTTAATTCGTACATTAGGTAACTGAAAATATTCTTGTTGAAAGAAAGAGAAAGACAAGAGAACAATTCTGTTATTGTTTTAATTCTTTCGTGTTTGATAAGGTACTGAAAGATTATCATCTATTCAGAAAGTGTAATTAATTCTCTGCAGTACGTAGAAGTTCCAGTACTGGCATCACTGTCATTACATCTGTCTAGCAAAGTGTTCTTAAAATGGGCGATATCGCCCGCGGGAAGTGTTAAAAGTCTTTATGGTGCTGGGAGGCGATGAAGGATTAGGCTGGCCGTTGAACATTCGAGTGATCCAAAAGAATGTGAAGTGTAAGAATGCTTCAATGAACACAAATGACAGAAATTCCAAGAATTTACTGCATGACAGTAATAGTAATAACAAACTGCTTCGTACATGGCTCTCGTTCACTCCTGGTTTGATAAAATTGAAAGAAAACAAAGAAGCGACTACTGAAGGACACCTGAGGTGGGGAGAGGGGCAGTTTGATGTAGAGCGATACTGCAATTTCTTGACAAAAAAAAAAATAAATAAATAAAGAGAAAGAAAAGATTGAGAAGTAGTAGTATAAAAGGTGAGAAAATATTGCATTTTGTTTTATGACTTGTTTTTAAAAGTATTGTCATGATTTCGCGTAACTGACCACGTCAGATTAAGAATTTGAAATTTATGTTTCTTGCAGGTGTTGTTGTTCTCTGTTACTTCCTCAATAAACGTCGACTAAATCAGTATTCTAGAGTCGATCAATTTATTATTGGTTAGTTACTAAACGTCTGTTAATGACAGAAGGTTTTAATCAGTTTTTATTACTTAATTTTTGACTGGGAAAAAATTAAACGGAATAGTCTTTAGCTTACGGTGGCTTACGGGGAGCTATCGCATATGGTTTGGTTGTTGCATTACCAGATACACTACCTTGTAAAAAAATGTTTGTGACTTGTTGTATTATCGTTATTTATTGGACTGTATTCTTGCAAGTAAGTACAATTAAGCAATTTTTTTGTTGTTTTTGAACGTCAGTAGCTGAAAGACTTCACTAAAACTCAATAACTGAACTGGGAAAATCACTGCTTTGAGTAGCAGTCGTTGTTTTCTGATCTTGCTGACAGCGTTTATTTCACAAACACTGTAAATTAGCTTTTTTTTTCAGGGGCTTACGATACGACCAATTGCCAGTTTCTTAGAAGTTGAACGTAAAAAAGTTTATCGTAAAAAAATGATTGACTATATATACGAAAATGTAAGTTAGTTGAGGAGTACTTCATATCCTCTTTAAAAACATGCGTTACCGAATGGCTTACTGAATGCCGCCAAGTACCATCGTAAACATTGTCAAGGAAAAGATAGTAATCAAATTTTTTACCTGTTACCCGTGAAAACCTTTTTCTGAAATTCATTTTACAAAAAAAGTGATTTAGCTTATTGATCACACTATGGGCGGTATGGAGGACATTGCCGGTATCAGAGGACATGCTTCATTACGCATTGCGTAAGATTTTAGTATACTGCTCTAAGAATTTTAATTATAACAAAAACAAATTTGAGGTCGTGACTATGACAGCTTTTACTTTTAGTAATAATAGCTAAATTTATGTATGGAGAGGTTTTAGTTTTGAGAAATTTAATAAGCGATATCTGAAGCCACTTCTGATCAAACGGAAGAAGAGAGAAACAATGGGGCATTCGAAGCTAATCCGTGCGTACGAAAACCTAAGGGCAACAGACACACGTGATTTACTGAGAAGGCCGGAGGATATGATGCAAAACACCCTATTTGTTCAACTTCTGACAGCGCGGTTAGTAAGGCTAAACTGGCTTTTTGTTAAAAAGCACTTAGAGCTATAAAATCAACTGTATTTGTAGGTCTCGGTTTGCTACCATCGAGACTGCTGACACAGATTCTCAACTGCC